TGCTGCTGCTGCTGCTGCTGCTGCTCCTGCTGCTGCTGTTGCTGCAGAGACACCCGAAGGTATCCCCCGCAGCCTGAAGAAGGGGCTCAGTCTGCCCGCCCCCATCACAGCAACAGCTTCAGTCCTCCAGCAGCAGCAGCAGCAGCAGCAGCAGCAGCAGCAGCAGCAGCAGCAATACAAGCAGCACCATAGACAACGCCGCAGACTTCTGCGTAAGATGCAGNGCAGCAGCAGCAATACAAGCAGCACCATAGACAACGCCGCAGACTTCTGCGTAAGATGCAGCCGCCTAATTTGTCGCCAGCGAAGAGACAGCCTGGAGAGAGCACAGGAAAGATGAAGGGAAAGCTGCTAGCAGCAGCAGCAGCAGCAGCAACAGCAGCAGCAGCAGCAGCAGCAGCAGGCAACTGCCACAAACAGCAAAGACCATCGCAAGCAGCAGCAAATGCACGCAACGCTGCGCTGCAGTGGGCAGCACTCGACTCCCCCTCTTCGGACTGTCTTGCTGCTGCTGCTGTTGGTTCAGAGCAGCAGATGAAGCAGCAGCAGCAGCAGCAGCAGCAGCAACAGCAGCAGCAGCAACAGCTTATACTGAGACAGCTACCAGCAAGATTGGCTCTGCTGCAGCAGCAGCGGCAGCAGAAACAGCAGAAGCAGCAATCCTTGCAGCAAACAGGTCAGCAGCAGCAGCAGCAGCAGCAGCAGCTGCAGGAGTTGCTGCAGCTGCAGGCCCAACGTCCCCAGCAACTGCAGCACCAACTGCAGCAGCAGCAGCAGCAGCAGCAGCAGCAGCAGCAACTAACACCTACTTTCTCCGTCGGCTCTCTAAGAAAAAAACCCCCCAGCAGATGGAAGCGGCCCTCCCCCTTTGGTCTCCGCGTTGACTTTCCTGTTAACCCTTTGCTGCAGCCGCTGCTGCTAGACACGTAAGCCTGCTGCTGCTGCTGCNCTGCTGCTGCTGCTGCACCGTTTTGGTGATAATGCGGCTGCAGCTGTTGTTGCAGAGTTTGCTGCTGTTTCGGTGCTGCTCCCACTGCTGCTGCTGCTGCTCCCACTGCTGTTGCTGCTGCTGCTGCTGCTGCTGCTGTTGTTGTGCTGCAGCAACCCATTCCTTGACTCACGCCCCACATACAAAGGCAGCACCAAGCTGTATGAGGTGCATGTACAGCGCAAGGGGGAGGAGCTGCTAGAGGACGGGCAGCTGCAGCAGCTGCAGCTGATGAAGAAGCCACAGCAGCTGCTGCTGCACCATGAACAGCAGCAGCAGCAGCAGCAGGAACAACAGCTACTGCTGCACCATGAACAGCAGCAGCAGCAGCAGCAGCAGCAGCTATTGGTGCACCAAGAACAGCAGCAGCGGGTGACCCCCTATGGGCTTCTTGCTAAGATAGCCAGCAGCAGCAGCAGCAGCAGCAGCAGCAGCAGCAGCAACGAGGCCGCCGAGGAGCATCTCAAGGGGCATTTGCTGCTGCAGCATCGCTGCAGCAGCAGCGGCGGAAGCACCGGAGATATTCAGCAGAGCTGCGGCTGCTGGGTAGACAGCAACAGCAGCAGCAACTGCTGCTGCTGCAGCGGCAGCAACAGCAGCAGCAGCAGCAGCAGCTTGCAGCAACGCTGCTGCAGCGGGAACAGCAGCTTCCTTGCTACCACCCCGACCTTTGAGGAGTTGGTGGAGGCGCAGCTGCGGCAGCCAGCAGCACTTTATCTGCCCCGCCGAGCGCTGCAGCAGCAGCAGCAGCAGCAGCAGCAGCAGCAGCAGCAGGAGCAGCAGCAGCTGCAGCAGACTCTGCTGCAGAGCCATGACCTCTCCCTGCCTCTAGGCTGCTGCTGCCCTGCAACAGAAGAGCATGCGGCGCTGCAGCAGAAGCAGCAGCAGCTTCATCATCAGCAGCGGCTGCTGCTGCTGCAGCAGCAAAGCCCCACAACAGACCGCATGCATATATTATCACCACTGACATCTCGGTTTCAGCAGCAGCAGGGTGACTCTACAACAGCAGCAGCAGCAGCAGCAGCNATCACCACTGACATCTCGGTTTCAGCAGCAGCAGGGTGACTCTACAACAGCAGCAGCAGCAGCAGCAGCTGCTGCTGCTGCTGCTGCTGGTGCTGTGCTGTCTCCTATGAGCAACGACGACGCAGTGGGGAGCCCCTTCAACATATCCTGCAGCAGCAAAGGCTCGGTACTCCGCTACAGCAACAGCAGCAGCAACAGCAGCAGCAGCAGCAACAGCAGCAGCAGCAGCAGCAGCAGCAGCAGCTACACAGAGGTTATTCCCCGAGAAGGCACTGAGCTGATGGATTTGCTGCACCAGCTGCCGTACCCAAAGGAGCAGCACATCTGCAGCAGCAGCAGCAGCAGCAGCAGCAACTGCTGCTGCAGAATAGGAGATTGCTGTCGTTGCAGCAGCAGCAGCAGCAGCAGCAACAGCAGCAACTGCTCTCAGCTTTGTAATGCTTCTCTTGCTGCTGCTGCTCCTTACAGAGACCACAAGCAGCTGCTGCTGCATCATGAGCAGCTGCTGCAGCAGACTCGCCCCCTAAGTATTCACACACCGCAGCAGCTGCAGCAGCAGCAGCAGCTGCAGAAGCAGCAGCAGCTGCAGCAGCAGCAGTTGCTGCAGCAGCACCAGCAGCAGCACCAAGTCGAGCAACATTCCTTACTTCATAGAAACACAGTTCCCCTTGACCCACCCACTGAAATGCAACAGCAGCAGCAGCAGCAGCAGCAGCCGCAGCAGAACCAGCAACGGCAGCAGCAGCAGCAGCAGCAGCAGCAGCTAGCCTTGTTGCAGGAGCAGCACATGCTATCGTTGCTGTCGGAGGAGCAGCAGCAGCAGGGGACCACGATATCAACGAGTTGTAGGAACCTGTCTACAGCAACAGCAACAGCAACAGCAGCAGCAGCAGCAGCAGCTGCTGCTGCTGCAGGCAGCAGCAGGATAAAAGGCAGCTGGCGAGTCCAGGAGGGCGCCGCTCTGTGGGGCGGTGACAGCTGGGAGCTGCGGGGCTCCCAAACGTGCTGCAGCAGCAGCAGGATTGGCATCTGCAGCAGCAGCAACGGCAGCAGCAGCAACAGCAGCAGCAGCAGCAGCAGCAGCAGCAAGAGCAGCAGCAGCACATCACACCTAGACAGAGCTGTCTCCAGTTCAGCTCCTGCTGCTCTCGGGTACTACAACAGCTATTCTTGCAGAGGGCCAGAGGCAGCAGAATTTCAACTCGTTAGCAGCAGCAGCAGCAGCAGCAGCAACAGCAGCAGCAGCAGCAACAGCAACAGCAACAGCAGCAGCAGCAGAACTCAGAAATGCCCCCTATCCACCAGCGCTGCTGTTGGCCCTACAACCGTCGCAGCAGTCTCTGATGAAGCAGCTGCTGCATCAGCAGCAGCAGCAGCAACAGAAGCAGCAGCAGCAGCAGCAACAGCAGCGTCTGATTCAGTCGGCAATGCTCCCGGCACTGCTGCTGCTGCTCCTACTACTACTGCTGCTGCTGCTGCTGCTGCTGCTGCTGCACCACCCCCTAGTGTTCCTAGCTTCTGGAAATGGCCAGGGGCGCTGCTGCTGCGTCCCCTTTTGCTGCCAGCAGACGAAGACAAAGCTGCAGCAGCAAAAGCAAACTCCGCAGGATCCTCCGACCCAGAAACAGCAGCAGCAGCAGCAGCAGCAACAGCAACAGCAGTGACAGGTACAGCAGCAGCAGCAGCAGCAGCAACAGAAAGAACTGCTGCAGCTGAAGATCCTGCACCGGGAGCTGCTGCAGAAGGTCTGAGCAGCAGCAGCAACTCACTGCAGCAGAGTGAAGCATGGGAGAGCCCTATACAAATGCAGCAGCAGCAGCAGCAACAGCAACAGCAGCAACAGCAAGGCGAACAGCAGCAGCAACAGCAGCAACAGCAGCAGCAGCAAGGGGGGACAGTACAAATGCAGCAGAAGATAGAACTGCCTCAGAATCAGCTAGATGACGCAGCAGTGTTCTCTAACGCTCTCCACCAACCTGTGCAGCAGCAGCAGCAGCAGCAGCAGCAGCAGCTTGTGCTGCAGCAGCAGCAGCACCTCGCACCTGCCCAAGACGGGGTAGCTTTGCAGCAGCAGCAGCAGCAGCAGCGGCAGCAGCAGCAGCAGCAGCAGCAAGAGACTACCCAGGAGAACGAATTTCATAGAAAGCAATCGCCTAGAGAATGGAAAGAAGACGAACTGCTGCAGCTGCAGCTGCAGCAACAGCAGCAGATCCAAGAGCAGCAGCAGGTAATACAGCAGCAGCAGCAGCAGCAGCAGCAGCAGGTATGGCAGGACAGTCATGAGGTGGAGCAGCAGCAGCAGCAGCAGCAGCAGCAGCGGGACCAGCAGCAAAAGCAGCAAGTTGAGATCTTCGTTTACGGGGACGATCACAGCCAGTATACCAATCCATGGCAGCAGCAGCAACAGCAGCAGCAGCAGCAGCAGCAAGAACAGCAGCAGCAGCAGCTGATGAGAGCAGCAGATGTTCACCTGCAGGGTATCCTGCATAACAGAAGAGATACAAATATTGCTGGTGGCTTTGATGGGGGAGAGGACAGCTTGGAGTCTGCAGCAGCAGCAGCAGCAGCAGCAGCAGCATGTGGTGCAGCAGCAGGAGCAGCAAGCAGCAGCTGGCGCCCGCAGTACTCTCTCGTCCAGCTTCTGCTCTCGAGAGGCCCTGCATCAGCAGCAGCAGCAGCAGCAGCAGGACGGAGAAGTGCTGCTGCTGCTGCTGCTGCTGCTTCTGCTGCTGGGGGACTGCGTTTCACAGTGGAGACACCGCGAGCAGCAACAGCCCCCAGCAGCCACGCAGTATCTGGTGCTGGTGTTTCTGCTTCCTGTGGTGATGCCCTGCAGCAGCAGCAGCAGCAGCAGCAGCAGCAGCAACAGAAGTTTCGCTGGCTTCAACCGGGTACTCTGCAGCAGCAGCAGCAGCAGCAGCAGCAGCAGCAGCAGCAGCGACGACGCAGCGATGTGGGGTCCTTCCGGCGTCTCTCCTCTCTCTCTGGCCGGCGCAGCCAAAGGGAGCTGCTGCAGGCGAAGGGCTCTCTCAGGGGCAGTTCAGCTAAGCTAAGCAGCAACAACCCCCCAAAGAAAACTGCTGCTGCTGCTGCTGCTGCTGCTGCTGCTGCTGTGGGTGGTGCAGCAACTGCTGCAAAAGGAACACCAGCGACATACAAGGCGTCCTTGTGGCAGCAGCGGCAGCTTATACACCAACAGG